GCTGGCAGCTGTGTGATGCAGTGGTGGCCTGGCACGGTGAGGTGCGCTGGCAGCTGTGTGATGCAGTGGTGGTCGGGTATGTAGAGGTGCACTGGCAGCTGTGTGTTGTGACGCAGTGGTGGCCTGGCACGGTGAGGTGCACTGGCAGCTGTGTGTTGTGACGCAGTGGTGGCCTGGCACGGTGAGGTGCGCTGGCAGCTGTGTGATGCAGTGGTGGCCTGGCACGGTGAGGTGCGCTGGCAGCTGTGTGATGCAGTGGTGGCCTGGCACGGTGAGGGGCCAATAACATGAATATATACTTCTAGGGCTTCACCTGTTGTTATATTTATTAACATTACAGAGAATCACCAAAGGGCTGTGTCTTATCACCCACACTGTGCATTTTGTACACTAATAATTGTAAGAGCAAATACACAGACATCTCATTGAGTTTGCTGATGACAGAGCCCTGGACAGCTTATTAAAGGACCCAGAAAATCACCATGGTCCCATTCTGAGTGATTTTACTTAATAGTGTGATGAATTATCTTCAAAGGTACAGTAAAAGTAAAAAAACAGAAGATAAAAAAGGAGCTGATCACTGATTTTAGGAAAGATGCAAGACCCCTCCAACGTCAGTAATTAATGGTCTGTAGAAACCGTAGAGGTTTTTCAATGACTAGAAGTACTTACAGTAGGAGTGGACATAGTCAAAATTTGAGGTAGGACAAATAGGACACCACTTATGAAAAAGGCCAACAGAGTCTTTTTGTTCTTAAGAAATTCAGCAGCTGTACTTTAATGTAGACAGGGCTATTTTACACTTTTCTACAAATCATTTTCTAATTTAAAATACTGTCAAATGTGTCAGTTTGGCAACATCAGTACTGTTAATTGTAATAGGTTGGGGAAATTAGTAAGGATAAGCAGCAAAATAACTGGTGGAAATCAAATCAACCTAAATAAATAAACAGAAGGGGAAAAGCATTATGGAGTGTGTGGCTCACCCCCTCCACTGTGAATTTACACTACCCCCATCTGAGAGGCACCTCTGTGTCTCCAGGTGCAATGGTAACAGTCTCAGGAAATCTTTCATCCCCTTCACAATCTCCCTCTCAAACATAGGTCACCATATAAAAAAATAATTCAGTATTGCAAAAACGACAAGGTCCTGGGTTGAATTTTGGACCTGAGGTACTATCTTCATGGCATTTGTACATTCTCCATGTGTTTGTGCCGGTTTCCTCCGGGTGCTCCGGTTTCCTCCCACTCTCTAAAAACATTCTGGCACATTAATACGCTTCTGGGAAAATTGCCCCTCGTGTGAGTGTGTCTGTGTTGTCTGCAACGGACTGGTATCCCATCCATCCTTGAGACTCCAGCTTCCCCATGACCCTAAAATGAATTAAAGCAGCTAGGAAATGGATGGATGGATATTAAGCAACACAAGGGACATGAATGCAAACACCTGCCTGGAGTGACTAGCTTCAATACTGAAAGTTGTGAGATTGCTCTGTGAAAGTACACTACAACCATCTGTGAGAGACCTCTGTGTCTCCAGGTGTAACATTGCTCATTAGTGTTTAATGACGGACAGAACCCCTACCTTCGCTAGGAGTTTCTACAGCTGCTTTCTGTTCCCTGGTCTCCTTATCCTGGGTGGGCTTGTGGGTCTTCTCTTTGGCCACCAAGTCCGTGGGCACCTCCAGAGAGCCGCCACAGATGGCCAGTTGGAACAATGCAGTGGACAACCGGTCACCTGACACCCGGAGCAAAAAATCCTGAACATGCTGGAGAAAATAAAAAAAAGAAGAATCCAAACAATTTCACAACTAAACACAATGGGCCTGCCTGTCACACAGACATCTGACTGTGGAGAATCAGCTGATTTTGTGGCGTTGCAGTGCTTATCACATTTTTACACCATGTATTTACTTTGTCTTATTACCACGATTTCACTACGCTTTAGAAGGTAGCAAAAGATTTGAAAGCAAGTCTCCCTTTTCATGGTAGTATAATGGCAAAAGGATTTTACATAATAAAAGAAAATATTCCTACAAAAACAGTGAGTATGCAGCTGTCACCAGGCAATGAAATATAAGAAAAAAAACTGTAAAACATTAATAAACATAATTTTAGCACAGGATTGGATTAGTAGATGCCAAGCATGACAATGTATAATGAGCAAAGGATTTAGAAAATCCTGATCCCTTTATTAAGCTTGACTATAACCTTTCTTACCCGAAACGCCAGCTTACATGATTTTCGAAGCAGCTCTGCATCACATGTTTTATTACAAAACATGTAGACACAGCCAAGAGGTGTAACACCAAGCTTCTGTTCTGATGTCAAAGATGCACTACTAGGAGGTTTGTGGTTCAGTGCTTAAGATAAAGGGCTTGCTACCAGGGGGATCCAAGTTCAAGTCCCAGCTGTGCCTCTGACCCCCTGTGACACAAGCCGTTGCACCTCCTCAACCTTCAGCTTTTCAATGTATAACACCAAGATTGTATTGTAAGTGACTGTATATGAGATCCTTTGGCATGAAATACAATTAATTACTTTGATAGCCTTTTCCAGCAAACTGGAAGTCAACTATGCAGCACGGTGGGGCAGTGGTTAGTGTTTCCACCTCATAGCACTGTGGTCCTGGGTTCAATTCCTGGGGTGCTCTCTGCATGGATTTTTGTATGTTCTCCCTGTATTCGTGTGGGATTCCTCCAGGTGCTCCAGTTTTCTCCCACAGTCCAAATATATAATGGTAAGTTAATCGCCTTATGTAAAATCAGCCCTAGTTTAATGTTTTAATGTCTGCATGCTGCATGTTTCTGTCTGAGTATGCCCTGCGATGGGCGTCCCATCCAGGGGGTATCCTGCCTCCCGCCTGTTGCTTCCTGGGAGATGCTCCAGGCCTCCATGACCCCGAACAGAACAATCAGTCATTGAAAGTGGGTAGAAGCGAATTTTGCTCAGAAGCATTAATCTTTAAAAATTCCTTTTTATTTCAAAACCAAACTTAGCAACATCAAGAAACCTTTCAATATTTTAAAGATTTTTCAAAATGCTGGCAACCTTGACTCACCGCATGCCATCACCCCCTGCCTAAAAGCATCCCCCTTGCTGCAACAGACAATTTAGTACCTTGGTCATCCTGGTGCTGAACACCCCCTCTGTGTTCTTGAAGACTTCCAGCACTGCCTCCGCTGCAGTCAGGGAAGTGTACTTCTTCCTCAGCTCCCTACTGCCCCCTGAAGAGAAAAGCTCAGGCCCCTGAGCTGGCTCCATCAGGGTTCTCTTGATCTTTCTCATCCTGGTTTCCACCTCTTCCATGATTTCCCTCTGAATGGTGGCCCTGGCTTTGTCCATAGACTCATGCTCGGATTTCACAGCTTTCCTCAGTGTCTGGCAAAGCCCAAGGAGAGAGGGGGTCAACAGTCCAGTCTCTGAAGAGAAATGCATGCACTTTATCTTGTCATACACACACCAGCTTTGGAGCTCACCTTCCATTCATCCCTTGTGCTTTGTGGCATAATGGAAAGGACCTAGTCCAAACAGAGTTTTAATTCTCAACAGGTGACACTTCAGAGCTTAGACCCTGATATTGCAGCACAGACTGAAGTGCATCTGGGAGAATAGGGCGTCACGCTTTCCCAAAGTCTTACCGAAATGGAAAGAGCGATGCTCTGGATTCTGACTCCCAGCTCGTAGGGCGACTCGCAGTTATACTGATCCGCCAAGTGTTTCATGAAATCAGCCAGGTCCACTTTGGAGCGGTTGAGGTTGTACTCTTTCATGAAGACACGCAGACTCTGCAAACATCAAGGAAAAACAATGGCCAGAGGCACAAGTTCATGTATGTGGAACATGTTACAGGACAGCTAAGGAAAAAACATTGAATGACAGAAAGATGCCTCTTCCTTGTCCTGGTAACAATAAACTAGCACAGTGGAGTGAACAAAATTATCTGAATTTTAATTTGTTTGGTAATTTGGAGGGTGGCGCGGTGGCACAGTGGCTAGCATTGCTACTAGAGCCCTGAGTATAATGCCAGACCAGGGGTGGAATCATAGTCCAAAGACATACTGTACTGGAAGGTTAAATCGCTTCTCGGAAAACTGGCCCTGGTGTGTGCATGTTTGTTTGTGTCTGTGTGTGCCTGTGCTGGACTGGTGTCCCATCCAAGGGAATCCTTCTTTGTGCCTGTTGCTGACTGGGATAGACTTTGGCTCCCCAATTACCCTAAACTGTATAGTTAGAAAATAGATGGGTGGTATTTAGAAGGGTCAAGCTCTGTTATGAAATTCCTAATTATTAGGAAAACGAATGATTAGGATTAAATTCCAATTTCAGTTCTTAGTTACCTGAACTGGTCTAGTTATTTGCTTTTCGTCAATATGCTTTCATTTTTTTCCCCAGAGCTTTCACAGCTGATCCTTTAAAAGATGCAATTATTCCAATAAATTATTATTTTTAATAAATTAATTTGTGTGGGTTCCAACAAATAACCAAATCTCAATTGTCTGAAGAGCTTGAACAGAAGAAAAGCCAAATGTCAGAAGTTGAGGTTTCCCCCTTACTACAGTTTAGTGTGGTAATACTGTAGTAAAGTCTAACATAGAATGGTGAAATTATGAAATTACAGCAGAGCATGCATATCAGGACTCGCTTCTTTACAAAGAGGTTTTTAGGGTCTGGAGAAAACAGGCCTAGCCCCGCTGTTGAAGCCGAATCCTTGGGCTCCTTGAAAAAACAGCTGGAATAAATCCTTGAATTAAGAAATTACCGGCATTCAAAACAGCAAGATGGGACAAACAGCCTTTTCTCATTTGTACCTCTTATGTTTTTGTGAAACAAAACAGTGGGAACATGACATGAAAATATATGCAAAGCATATGCAATGTAAAACATTAGGACAATTGGAAAATGACCATGCAAATTTTCTCCAAACGACCTTTAGGAAATGAGCCTGACATCATGGGCCCTAGGAGATGGAGGCTGGAGTGTTCAAAGGTGATCATTAAAGGAGCATGTCCTCAGGGGAGATCTCAGATGGGGGCGTCCTCAGAGGGGATGTCTGAGGGGGGTTTTGCTCCGAGGTGATCTCTGAGGAGGGTGTTTGAAGGTGAACTCTGAGGGGGCTGTGCTCGGAGGTGATCTCTCTGGGACAAAATGTGACAATCACAATCACCTTTATGATGTCCACAGTTTCGATCTCACGTATGTCATCGTCCTTCCACGTGCGATCCACTTTAAACATTCTGTGGATCAGAGGAATCTTGCACAGGGGGCCCAAACTCAGCTCCTCAAAACGCTTCTTGTTTTTCAGGGCTGCCAAGCTCTGGCCGAGTTCATAGAGGGTGCACACTGTGCGCACTCCTTCCACCGACTACGAGAGAAGACACACAAGAAACAGATCTCTTATCCAGGACAGTGACACAGTTGCCAACTGCCTTCACTTCTCACACGACTACCTTCAGCAGATACATCAGTAGACAGGTCTTTTCTGTAGCAACTCAGAGAGCCACTACCTAAATGCCTGCTGACACAGTAAAGGAAGTGACTTCAATGAAATTGAAATTGAAATTCAATGAAATTATCCATAAGAATGTAAAAAGGTTTGGTAGAGTATACATTCACAGATCACTATAAATACAAAGTGGATTTACAAACAAAATCAAATTTGTTATAGGAGTGAGTCATTTCTTCAAAGAAGCAGCTAATAACTATTAGCAAAAACACTGCATGCAAACAATGCATTCTTTGATCCCCTTTAAAAGATGTCAGTATTAGTGTCAATAGCAGTTTTCCATCCAAGGCGGCTCAATAGTCTACAAGTACAGCATGTTACGTGTTATGCAGGACTGATATCAATTTTTAAGACAACCTATGGAAAATATTAAAACACTGGTGTAAATTATTTCAGTTAATCCATACCTAAAATGGTCATACTAAAATAGCTTTCTGGATCTTTCCTAATTCTAATTCAGTCATTAGTGGCCCTGTAGGTGATCCCTCTGAACCTTAATTTCTACATAAATGGCAAAGTATGCCGATAAGGACATGTGCAACTACAGTAGAAGCATCCTTTGAATTAGATGTTAAACTGGAATCCTGACTATTCGGTCATTAAAGATTCTAATACAGATTTAGAGAGCCATTATTGAGAGCATTCTGACTGCCTCTATAACTGCTTGGTTTGGCAATGCGTCTTCCGCTCCAAAGTAGAGTAGAGTAGTGTAGTTTATTGCCATATGTACACGTACATTGGAATTCTTAATCGCGCTGATCTCTCAGGACATACACAGTACAACAGACAACACTACACAATGTAGACAACAGGAACAATAAACAAAAATAAATATGTAGTAGTGAGACTAAGAAAAAAAAGGGTTAGACTATATAAACAGTGCAGAGTGCAGATGTGTACTGAGTCTGAGGCCCTGCAGTTAGTTGTTGTTGAGGATGCACACCGGCAAACTGCAGTGTGTTGTTCGCTCTGTGAAGAGGGTCATTGGCTGTCATTCATTCCGATTTGTACAATTACAGAGCAAACGAACAGGCAGGAAAGATTGCTGGTGACCTCTCCCACCCAGGTCGCCGCCTGTAACAGCTTCTTTCCTAGGGCTGTTTTTTTTCTTAACCCGAATTCCTAGTTAGTGTATATGTGCACTGTCTTAATGATGTATATTATCTTCTTGTGTATGGTATATAGGGAATGCTTTAGCAGCACCAAGTACACCAGAGTAAATTCCTTGTACATGAAATGTACTTGGTGAATAAAGGTCATTCTTTATCACTTGGTCATAAGGTTCCACCTCAATTCAAGTCATGAAGTAACTTATTGCGTCTCCTTTAAATCTGCCGTTACAGAAACATTCAGGTAATGGATGGATATATTCCTTTCTAAAGGTAAAGTGCTTAAAATGGGGATTCTTGGCTGGACCACATTCCCCAGAATGCTGTGGGGAATGGGCTGCTGCCCTTGGTCACCTAACCAGTTGGTGATAGACAATGGGACAGACGACAATTTTAAAAGCAAGAAGATCAGGCTTCCAACTGTTGCTCAATCTGTTACCTGGGAACAGAGGGCAGATCCCAGAAGTAATGAAGAAGGAGGTGACTGACCAAATAACAGAGAAACTAAGATACCTGTAAGTCTGAAAATTCACATCTTCAAAGTTCCTGTTTCATAACATCCTGCACAAGGGTGCGGTGCAGATCCTTTTTGGTGAAACACACTATATACAGTATATACAGTATCTAAGCAACTACTGTAATTAACAAATTTTACTCTTACTGTATAGTATATTGTGAATAACAATTGGTGCTCTACTTTATATAGAAATTTCTACCTCACTGTTAACTCTTCCAAAGCTTTCCAATTTCAAAAGCGAAACAGAAGGAGAAACGGGGCTCACCTCAATAAAACTATTTATCTCCCTGAGGGTTCTCTGAAGCTCCTTCACAGCAGTTAGATCTCGCACAGCAACAATTTGTATACTATGCAGGGACTTAATTCGTAAAAGTCTGCAGATTCGGGAGTCAACCTATGAAAATTAAGAAAAGAAAATTACTGCGTAATTACACAAGTTTTTTATTGCCATACCTTGGAGACAAAACAAAGCTAAAACTTATTTTCTGCATTCAGTTCTTTGCTGTTTCAGTCCATATACTGTACATGTAAAATTATTCATCAGTTACTTGTGACTGGCTGCTGCCTACTGACACACATCTCTGTGACAAAAACAAAAGATTTTGTGCTTTTAAAGACTGAAAATGTTATTTTTCAATTGTGAAAGCAATTTTGTCCTGCTTTGCATCCAGGCTGCTGTTTTTGAGGAAGACAATGAATTTTTTATTTTTGTAAGACAGCAAGATAACACTTTAAAATACTCATAAAAATGGAATTGATTTATGATCAATCAAGTGTGATTCAACACCATGCTGAGTGACTTCTGTGTCTGTCAGTTTTTTTCCCTTCTCCATTGGTCAGACACTGATCTTAATAGGAAACAAAGTAATGATTAGGAGAAAAATATCATAGCTACTTCTGAAGAAAGTAACAGTTGTGACTCCAGAAAAGAGTGCCCCATAGCACCAGCAATTGACTGCCCAACAATCAGAAATAACCAATTGCACATACAGTATATACAGTATATACACTTCCTAAGGATCAACAATCAACAAGGACAAGGAGACATACTGTAAGTGGAAATTGGGAGCAAGTGTTTTTAAACCTGAGAAAACTTCCCTATGACCCTTCAATAAGGTGGTGGCTAAATAAAAGCCTTAAATCAAGACGTTAATAACACACAAACAAGCAATGAAAGGATCAAGTAGCCTCAGCTAACGTACTGTATAAACTCTGAATGTTCTTATAAACACTTTAAAAACTATACAGAATGTTAGTAAGAAACTTAAGTCATAAACAGATGTGAACAGAGAAGAAGAGTGCAATCAAACTGTTTGTCTTAATGACAGTTATGCTCATGTTGCAGTTGTACAAATTACAGCTACTTTGTTTGTATTCCAATTGCTCCCTCTTCAAAAATCATTCCAAAGGAAACCATGATTACTTTAAGTACCTTCTGAAAACAATAAACCAAACCTAACCTAACTGAACCTAAACCTAACTGAACTTTTCATTGTGGTCACTTTAAGTCTACTAAACTCTTATTAAATAACTGTGACCACAAATCTGATTTGGACTTCAACAACAGGATTTGCTCCTTCTAGTGACGTGTGCTCATAAAAACTTTTCATTTTGGGCCATTTGGTTCACCAGCTTCCTTTCCTTGTTAGTTTCTTCCTTTTATTAATATCCGTATTATTCCCATCTTTGGTAGTGTGCCTCATGGACTTTAGACATGAAAACTCAACCTCAACACAAGTGTTAACCAAAGGCCCAGGCATTATACAGTAGCACTTTTACTCAAAATAACTCGGTGACCATTTTATATACATAAAACCCGTGTGAAAAATCCTCGCTCCACACCTCCACACCTCCACTCAACCACTGGTGTTATATACAAAATGTGAACTGTACAAACATTTGTTGCTTGAGGCTGTCTCAATGGAGCTTGAAGGGAATAACTGATAAGTTACAGTGCTGCCTAAGCAAATACAAGTAACAACATTTACAAACATTTACAGGACAAACGTATTCTTGGCGTTTATATCCACCAACCTCTTTGCTCGTGACAAGCTCTCCCTCGGCAGCGATGGCACGGATGCAGTCCTGAGCCAGGCTGTTCACCTCTGAAATGGAGAAGTTTCTCCCAGGCCTCCTCTCCAAACTGAGACCTTCCAGAACTTCTGCAGCCTGCATGTTTGAATTGTGAATTTCCCTCATCTGGGCATTGTAGGCCTCCTTAAACACTGGGGCACTTGATTTGCTTCTCTCTTTCTGTGCTGCCTCCCCCTGGAGATTCTTCTGCTGGGCTTTTGTCAGCTTGGCTCCCAGAGCTGGGAAGTCGGACTGGGAAACTGCAGAAGCCACAGGAAACGGGACAACAGGTGGCCAGTGAGAGGGCCCTGGGAAGACCGCAGCTGGAGTTACTAACAGGGCTGGTCCCTGAACTGTAGGCTTTGGTGGCTGTGGGGATTCCGCTCTCTGCTTCGCTATTTTCATAGTGCTCTGCTGTATAGCTGCAAGACAAGAACCAGAACCAGCTTATGAGATAGGCAGCAGTTAATCAAAAATGCAGGAGACCAAAAAAGGAACATATAATTACTGTACAGTATATCTCTACAACACTGACCATGAATTACCACAAAATAGAGGAATCTTGGTCTCTCATGGACCCAAATATTGCTTTAGGTCACCACATCACAGGAAAAGCTGAGGCTACAAAATTGAATGAATTTAGTGAAACATCTTAAGGGAACCAGAGAAAATCACTATATTAGAAAAGTAACATACGTAACTTTTCTGCTTTAAAAAAAATCTAGTTTACTTTATTAGGCCTAATAAATAACTGTCAAAGCCATTCAAATGCATTTTAATGATTCCTCTTCCACCACGAGAAACTGTTCTGCTGTTGCAATCTGAATCTAAAAAACTCATCAGCTAAAGGCAGCCTTCATTACAGAATCACCAATCACAAGCAGTGTGTACTGTACTGTATATGGTTCAGTTTGAACTCAGACCTACAGTGGAACAGAGAACAGCCTGGGTGCAAAGCACAAGCCACTAACCCCTGTAAAATGTTCACAATTTCATCAAAGAATAAGATAAAACAACAGCAGAGTCATACAGTACATCTAGACTGTGCAACAACGTATAAATTGGGATTCTTCTTACCAAAAAGGCTAACTATATCAAAATCGACTTAAGCGGTTAAAGCCATGAAAGAGATATCAATGTTAAGTGGCAAGGACCAGCTGCTTGCTGGCAGTGGTAACTACCCTTTGCCCATATGTCTAGTTACTACAATTTCTTTCAGTGATGAAAAGGTGCTATTTCTGTTGCTTCTTTGGTTTTGTTTGAAAACTTTGACATTTTTTTGTAATGGAATTGTAAAAAGTTATCTGAATTTGGAAAGTTTGTTAACTGAGGTAAGGAAACTCTTTGGGGTGGGAAATTCGCCACCAGTTACAATAAAGTAAAACAATAAACCAAACCTAACCCAACTGAAACTAAACGTAACTGAACTTTTCATTGTGGTCACTTTAAAAAAAAAAAGTATATGAAAAATCATGTGATGATGTAGGTTTTCTCCTACTTTGTAAATGTTTTCTGAAATTCAAAATGTTGTGGCACAAGTCCAGTTCTGTCTGTAACCTTTAAAGTGCAGCCCTTGCTTCCTCTTAAGCAGTCATTCAAATCAATTTCCTCATTAGATTAAACGTGGCAGAACCTACTGTTTTGAAATTTCACTTCGTTTTTAAGGGTTTGTCCTTTGACCTTTATGTTAAACATTTTCAACAGCCCGATCCATTCACAGGTGTTGCTTGGATATCATATGGAGACATTTGATTCCTCAGGTTTTGCTCGCTCTAAAACCTTTGTGTGACCTTTAGCAATGTAATAAACTTTACCTGATGGTTCAGCCTTGGCAGCCTGAGGCTGAAGTGGCTGTGTGGCCCACTTCATCTCCAGAGCCTTTGATGTCTCTGGACCTGGGAGAACAGAAGTCGCAGAGATTGGCCTGTGGTGAGAATTGTGAAAAACCAAATCTTCTTCTATATGCAAGTCATCCTTCAAAAAATCTATAAAACTGGTGACAGAAGGAAAGCCGAAAGACCTCACAGTCAGGTTCCTCTTGTACTTCTGACTGTAGAAGAGAGCCAGCTTTTTGAGTGGAATACCTTGAGAGTGCTGTTTTAATAGCTCTGTGACTTCCCAGCAAGCCTTCTCCATTTTGCCTGTAAATTAAAATAAAATTGTAAACAGTAAATTTCTTTGGGACAGTGAAACAATAAAAACAAAGATAAATTATAAACAAAACAGTTAACTATGTTGCAATCTTGAAATAAAACATATTACTGTCCCAAAGGAACTGAAGTGATGCAGTTTAAAGTAATGCTTCTTAGATAAAGTTAAGTAACAACAAGCAAGCTCTTAAGTAAATGTCAAATTGGTTTTTAAATCTGTCAGTTATCTAAGGTTTTTTACACCATTTTTTTACATAGATTTTATACACTTCCTATAAAAGCAAAACTCATTCACAGCAGACATAAGTCCTACAGTCAAACCTTGTGTATAACATTAATCCATTAGAATGGTAACTACTGCTTCCTGACAGTGAGCAAATGTTAGATCATGAGTTTATTAAACATACTAAAATAGAGACAAACACTGTCAGAGATGGAAAACCCAAGGCTTACACAGTATCTCTAACACACAAACATGAGCAAGGTTCAGATTTTCACATCATTCAAAACTCTTCAAAAGTACATTTGGACCTGTCCCAGTTATGAATTCAGTGAGATAATTTAAAACTGGGGAACGTGTTGTGTGCAGCACGTAATGATAATATCATGTAGGGATAGCCTTCTGTCACATTCTTTTCATCGGTGAACTTTTTCAATGTTACATTACTTAGCATTTCTAAGCCTTTCTTTGTACACCATCCCAGGTGTGTATAATCAGCATTCTTACAAGAAATGTATTCACTAGGAGCAATCCAACATTTCTTAAAGAAAAGAGCATGATTTTGACTATGTTTTTCTCTGTATCATAGTCAAATGAATCATTTCCTAAATTTCCACATGCCTTGTATTGGCTAATACATATCTTTCATTACTGGCAAGGCTCTGAGACCAGGAAGACATACACATACATTTCAGTTCTATGCCTGCTCGTCACACAAACCATAACTCAGTGTCTGTGCCCATGGCACCAAATCTGAATCTGCTCACCCAACAAACTTAACGTTGACACTAGAAGCTATTTTGTTTTGATATATACTGTAGTAATATAAGTCACACCCTGTTCCTCAGACTGGCAAGGATTTGGGAAGGAGAGGCACTGCCTCTCAGGCAGTTTTTCCAAAAAGAAGCATTAATTCACCGTTAGAAAGATCAATGTTAGGTGGGAAGGGGCAGCAAAGCAGAGTCTGTCCCAGAAGCATAAAGTGAAAGACAGGACCACACCCTGGGTGGGCAAAACCTCACAGGAACACAGGCACAATAGTTACCAATTAACTAAAGGGAGGTGGGAGGAAACTGGAGCGCTTGAAGAAAACCTCCATGGACATGGGGAGAACACGCAAACTCCACCCAGACTGGAACTGAACCCAGGACCCAAGAACTGTGAGGCAGCCACATGCTGAAAAAGGGTAGTCCTGCATAATGTCCTGGGAAGAACTTAGTGGTTGCCTACAGAGCTCACCATTGAACACAATTCAACTTGTGTTTAGCCTATAAGATGGAGTCAAACACTATTAAGTGTACTTAACAACTTCCTCGTCTTCTTTGTAAAACAAAGTTTAATCAATACATTCTATTCAGACTTGTTTTTCTGTGGAGGTGATCAATCCAGGAATCAATAACATGGCATAACAATTTAACTATTGTTTGGTAATATAGTTCCTACTGAGAGGGATGGAGAAAGTAGCTGTTTTTTTCTTTTTTTGTTTAAAAAAATCAATACAAGAAAAAATAAGTTAGAATTTGTAAAAGTACTGAAAACACCATAATAAAAATGATAGCACAGTTCAAGCACAGTAAATACAGTTCACAGCAGAAGTGAAAGTTACAGAACAATCTCAGTAAACTGTACCTAGAGAGGAACTAGCCAAAAACTGATACTGATGCACATACAGTACATCAATATTCACAATGGCATTACTTAAAATGATTTTTTTTGTAAAAAAACCTCCACTGACAAAATTCCGTAGCAACAATCATGGTACAGTAAATTACAATATCACAATATAACACAAAGTTCTCCGTACTAATGCTAATTAAAGACAGTTCCAGGTAAATCCAATCAAGAGAGAGGCAGCTTAAACGAAACCGCTTATTCCAGTTTTTAATTAATCAAAGGTCATTGCTGCTTCCTCATTCCTGTGATAAGACAATAACCGAAAATTAAGCTAATACAACAATGGCAGAGAGCAACACTGGAATATACAGTACAGCGCTAGAATTCAAACAGATCCTAAGTGATGTCTTACTCTATAGAAGGAACCTCAAATCTTTCATTTTTCCTGCACTCCGTGTACATGTACAGTAGATAAGACATAAACCAACACTCCCCCATTCAGTATAAGACTGCAATATCAATCCATTTCTTTCACTGAAGCATCACATCTTTGACTTTTTGTTGGTTCTTCTTAATTAATCCCAGGACAAATCTCCCAGGAGAATCTCAGCGATTTGGTAACCTGAAGCTAACTTGAAAATGACCAAAAAAAGCACATCACTATTTTGTAGCCTTACCAGTGTATATAGATCCTTATAAACTGTATTTCTTTTATAGTCACCTCGGATGCTGCATTTCCTGTGAAGCTGTGAACTGGTAATTCTGTTAACAAGAGGCAGTAGTCCTGCTTATATTACTTCAGTCCCCACACTGTAAAGAGTGCCTCCCCCACGGTTTGATAAAACCCAGACAGCCAATGTGAGCTTACCATGAAACAGAAAGTGAAAGCAAGGAAAGGAGCCTTTTAAACACAGACAGTTTTTTTTTTTTCAGTTTCATTTCATTTCTCTCTACTTGGTTTTTGGTTTCCATCACTTTCAGAATAAATCACCCTCACAATCAGGATTACCGATATGACAGGAGAAAAATTGAGGATAAGCCTACATCAAGTTTTAAGTTTTGATTTAAAAATATAAAAAGCTTGTTTGCATTATTTTTTAATACTATCTAGAATTTTCAATACAGTCTGAATCCTGTATCACTTTTAGACTGGACAGAACATAAATATCTTGGATAACAGTACTTTTAACCATTGCCACATTCCTCAGCTGAACATGTATCCTGTGAGATTTAAAGTCAAAAAGGCCTGTTAGCTCTGGCAACACTTCCTTTAAAAGGCGTTTCAGAAGGTATTTGAAAAGGTACAATCTGATGCCATCATTCACAAAGTTTATATCAAAACACATCACTCAAGGTGACCTCATGACTGCTTCTCTACAGAAAAAGCATGAGACAGTAACGCACAGCAAGGCGGAGGAGAGCCAGAGGACTTAGGTTTCACTTTCCTGGCTGAAAACAGTGGTTTCGTTTCTGCTAGTTCACTCAGGGCTCACTCAGGGCTGTTGCATAACAACAGTGCTCTGCCTAGCAACAGCAGCGGAAACGTTTTTTCTATATTTCAGACAATAGCCCCATGGTACAGACAAATTTGAGAGGCCAGCAATTTACTGTTGAACAGAATATTCCTATTTACTTCTATAAATGATAAAGCACACTGACATGGAGACACTGTACACAGCAGCATTCAATATACACCATTAAAGTAACAGCCACAATTATGTTGCTTTTGTAAACTAGTAAAACAAAGACCTTTGAGTGGAGTGTCCAGAAAAGTGTGATATAAGTCTAAGGATTATTATTAGTTAAAGACATACTGTATTAAGGGTAACTTTAAGCAATTACATGCTCTTAATCACAATGTAAAGACACAATATTCCCAAAACGATTTGCTTGAACTTCATACGCAAACAATAAAAAGTCAATTATTCTTCCAAACCTTAGAAAATTTGGGCAAAGCCCAAACTGTTTTTCTTATTAGATTTGAACTTAATTCAATATGAATTAATGTAAAGTTTCTACAAGTAGCCAGCTTCAACATACAGGAGTAAAAGTTGGTTCAGGCCTCAGTTGTTACTTTTTACTTTACTTTAGTTGTTACTAAATTTTGTGAGCAGCACAAGGCAACTGCAACAGCAGAGCAAACTTAAAGAAAATACGTATTTAATAAGATGTCTCAATCTCCATTACTTAATCTGCATTTAACAACAAATACAAATACAGGTTTTTGGAAGAGGCTAAATATTTTGATTTCCTTTTAAAAACATTTCTAATGTTTTCTACCCATCCATTTTCTTTTTTTAACAAGTACTTTCATTGTTCTCTAACCCAACAAAAATACATAAGTGACATACTGAAGTAATATTACAGAGCACCTGCAGGGATTTAGCAGTGCTTTATTTCAGAATAATTTATGAAAAGAAGAACTGCAGAATTTCCAATCCCACACGTTTTCTAAGCACGTTATCTAATACAGGGTCGTGGGGAGCAGGAACCTATTCCAGCGAGCAGCGAGCGTGAAGCAGGATACACCCTGGATGCGACGCCAGTCCATCATACATTGGCTTTTGAGCACAGGTTACTCAAAGGTCATAAGCATCTTTAGACACACCTGAGTTGAAATGCTACAACGACATACCTGAACCCCTCTTGACGGAAGAACTAGCGCTGGCATCCGGGTCCCCCTGCTGACCTGGGGCGCTCCAGTCGAAGTCTCTATCCGCAGGGAGGCCTGCACAGTCGCCCAGGCTCACCGCCTTCACGATATTCTTTCCACCTTCATGCACCATCCGGGCCTCATCTCCGAGCAGCAGCAGCAGCTCCTGCAGGCCCTCCAAGCCATAATCCTTCAGGCGCAGCTTGCGATTGTACATCATTCCGTACGTCTTGCGGATTCTGGTCAGTTCTACGCCTTGGGGGAAGCTCTGGAGTAAGGCAATTAACTCCGCTCTCAGCTGTGGTTTCATATCATCTGGAGAAAGGCGACAGGGAGATAAAGAACATTTTCCTTTTTGGAATTGTCAATAATTTATCTGCACTAGCTATTGTCATGCAGCAAAACTTTCAATGGTTAGGAGCGGATTTCAAATCAAAGAACCTGAAAACTGCCTAGCTGGTTTGCAATGCATTACCAAAAAAAGAACCAACTATATGTGTGAAATACATTTTGGGGCTTACTGTAAATGTAAAGGACTTCTAAAAACTTCCTCAGTAATGTCATCCTTGTGCTGCTGATATGTTGGAATGGAAGACAAAGACACATACGTCAGAATGCTATTCATTGACTACTACTACTGACTAAAGTGAAAAAACTTTATATAATGATATATATAAATAAAAAAGATAATGTAATCTGTTCCTTTACATACTATTATTATTATTCCCAGAAACTCATAAGGTTTTGTGCCCTGGCTCATTTGGATGATAAAGGCAAATACGTCAGAATGCTATTAATTGATTACGGCTCCATATTCAACACAATAGTTCCTTCCAGACTAGTCAGGAAGCTAAATGACCTGGGCATCAACACCTCTCTGTGCAGGTGGATTATGGATTTCCTGACTGGCAGACCTCAGACTGTGAGGGTAGATGAGAAACTTTCTTCCACACTGACCATCAATATAGGTGCCCCTCAGGGCTGTGTGCTTTGCCCCCCGCTGTTCTCCTTGTTTACCCACAACTGTGTGGCCAGACACAGCTCCAACTCCATCTTCAAATATGCTGATGACACTACCATCATTGGCCAAATCACTGCAAATTAGGAGACAGCCTAAAGGGATGAGATCAGGAACCTGGAGGAGTGGTGCCTTGACAATAATCTCTCCCTCAATGATGGCAAAACCATAGACCAAGTCATTGATTTTAGAAAGCAGGGTAGGGACCACACACCTATTCACATCAATGGGGTGGCTGTAGATGGTTAGCAGCTTCAAGTTCCTGGGTACCTTCATTGCTAATGATTTAACGTGGTCCCAGCATGTAACTGGAGCTACAAAGAAGGCACAACAGCGCCTTTACTTTCTCAGACAAGTGAAAAAATTTGGACCGTCTTCAACTGTCCTTACCACATTTTAAAGGTGCGCTATCTAGAGTGTGCTCACATGTGGTATACCATTTTGGTTTGGCAGCAGCTTGTTGTCTGACTGGAAGGCATTAGAGTGAGTGGTCAGGTCAGCCCAGTCCATCACTGGAGTACAGCTCCCCTCTGTTTCAGACATTTTTACAACTTGCTGTCTCAGGAAGGCTAGAAGTATCGCTAAGGATACAAGTCATCCTGGTTCCTCACTTTCCTCTCCCCTTCCCTCTGGTAAGCATTATAGGAGCATAAAGGCACGAACGTCCAGACTCAGAGACAGTTTCTTCCCACAAGCTGTCAGATTACTAAACTCTACCCCTACCTCTGGCTCACACTGATGTGTTCTTTTTTTCTCTAAGATGTATGTTATTTAACTTGTTGTTGCTGCTGCCGCTGTTCTGTGTTTTTGTATTTGGTGTTTCCTTAATGTCTTCTATAGGAGCATACATGCAAATAAGCATTTCATTGCACTTGAGCATATGACAATAAAATAAAGTGATCTGAGAATGAGCACTGTCAAGCCATCTGGCTGTGAAGCTGTTTCAGTGCAGCCTTACCTTTGGGCGTAGCTGCTACAGGCTGAGGCGGAGACACAGCAGGAGATGAACCAGTTAAGGCTGAAACATCACTGGCACCATCTGTGTCCCACGAGGCTGAGGCGGATTTGCTTCGAATGACATAGCCACTTTCCTGCTTCACCATATCGACTATGTCGCTCATTGATGCCACCAAATCTTTAACTGATTTGAATCCCAACTTTCTCACAGAAAGGGGCTTTTGGTACCTGTAGTAAAAGTTCTTGCTGATCCTATTCACAGGGAAACCTCCTGGATACCTCTTGCACAGTCTTTGCAGCATTTCACGAAAGGCCTCTATTGAGCATTCTGGTGCAAAAGAGCAGAAACCCAAGTCACGCTTCTTCAGACTACTGCATTCTAAACTGTTACAACAATAGTTGTGTCACATAAGAAATCCTAACTGAAGTAGAACAACATATCCACAAAATCCCCACAAAGGTCCTGCCTACAGTATATCAAGGGTAGATCAGTTTATCTGGCTGGGGGAAACACTTGACAAGCAATTGCTCTCAATTTTAACCTAAAAGCAAACTGAAATTATAAATTACTATGATTGACCACAACTGAAATGTTAAGTTGCTCTTAAGAATGCACGTGTTTTTAAGAGGAATCCGTTACTGGAGTAAAATCAGGTCACAGATAACTACACTGATGTTTTACGCCATAACTGAAGTCATCATTTTTTTTACCCAATACTCTTTGTGACCAGTTAAGTGAATTGAGAGTTAAGTTAACTGCAATGGTACTCTAACCCTATTGGACAGCTGAAGTGCCCTAAGGGCTAGACAGACACCCTACATTAAGAAACAGTAAACTTATTTAGGAAATGATTACAAACCATTTGGATTTTTTTTGCCAGTATGGCATTCTGTAAACTATTCAGAGGAATATGTGGAATTCTGAGTGACAGCGATATGGGGCAGGTGCTTTTTCATCAGAGCAACACTTCTCTAATGGGGGTCACCCTACTTATTGCTACAGTATATAACCACAGTAAAACAGGCGTCTACTGGACCTCACTGTTCAGTACATACCTCCTGCAGAGTCTTCGACTTGAGGCGGGCCAGGCTGTGGTGCTCTCAAATCTGCATGTTGGCTTTCAGGATCGTCAGGGGAAGTTTTGAGCACTGCATCATCACAGGGTTTTCCTATCAGAAGAATCCCACTGTCAGCGGGGACCATATCCCAGACGTCGGTCAGCTGCCCCGCCATCTCCTTCAGAGACTTGAATCCGTATTTCTTCAGGGTGAGGCACTCCTTATACACCTGGTTGTAAGTGTTGCACAGCCTGTGCAGTGGAATGCCAGAGGGGTACAGCCGGAACAGGCTCTGCAGACGCTCCCTGAGTTTGTTCAGAGCTTGACATTCTGGAAAGCCGAGAACAGACGGGTCAGGGTGTGATTCAGGAGTGCCCATGTCTCTAAAAGCTTACTGCAACATTCTAGATACCGGTGAAGGAAAGCTATTTATTTTAAAACTCAAAATAAAATTCCTAACCTTGCTCACACATGGTACTACAGCATTGTTTTTCAGTCCTGATGCAATGTCTAATGGATAAAGAGACTTGAGTATTAGTCATCAGTCAGTTTTTAGAAATATGACCAGAATCCTCTAGATCAGTGGTTCTCAAACTGTGGTACGCGTACCGGCAGTGGTACGTGGAGTGCCGCCAAGTGGTACGCCAAATGACCCTGGAACTGTGTCGTGTGC